ACCCCTCTGTGGATGGCATACTCCCTTTCTTCTCTTCTTCTTCCTGTCTTTCTGCCTCCTTGGTCCCCATCCCTTTTATTTGGCTAATGCTCTGTGCCTAATCACATTAGCCAGCACTGGCAGTATAGAGATGTTTGCAATCCAACCCAGGTCTGATTATGAGCTTCAGCAGCCCGAGGCGACTTTAAGAATGTGTTGATTGGTGGGGGGTGGGGAGCCCCCAGAGGGGGCCAGCGTTATTGGCTGGTGGAGCCGCCCACATGTGTGTCTGGGCACCGCCAGGCCAGTTGGTTTCTGGTTCTCTCCTTGATCAGGCTCCTGGTGGGGTATTTATCCTGGCTGGGCGTCTAAGCCCTTCCTGATTGTATTAAGCCTCTTGAAAGTGAGGCTCAAAACAATCCGGCTAGTTTGGCTAGTGCTGTAACCACAGCAAAGTGTGCCCTGTATTCTTTGTCAGTCTCTGTTCGAGCTCATTTCAACTTTCTCCCAACTCTGGGATATAAAGAAACTACCACGTGTTTCTCTGGTTTGCAAGCATTACCTCATTTCCCTGGTCTAGGATATTAATTCAGAAATATTTATTAAGTGATTTCAGGATTTGGGGTGATTTTGAAAGCATTCAGTTCAAATTCCATGAAGGATGCCATGGGTTTAAAGGAAATTAGCTACTCCCTTCCCCCACTTTCTCAAAATCACGCTCTATTTTTCTTTAGAGTACATTCCTTTCTTGTCATTGTTCCTTTAATTATTTACAATCATTCATTTAATGTCTGTCTTCTCTATAGATTGCAATAATCTCCATCTAGGTAGGATCCCTGACTGTCATCTTTAGTACCACAGGTATATCCCCAGGGACAGACACAGTAAGTCCTTCACTATCTAATTATTATTCCTTGATGGGCAGAGACATAGCATTGTACTTAGAAGGTGTAATTATGTTTCTGGAAGTTTGTGTATAGCAAGTAGGACTATGCATATAGTTAGCCATGTGAAAACAGGATCCTTGGGTTCAAACCCAGAGTCTGTGCTGCTTGCCCCCAGAGAACCTTAAAGTGGCCCCTTCTTGTGTGCCTTGAGAGGATGGACAGCAAGTCTACCCGAGTTTCCATTCTTACAGAAGCCAGTGAAATAAAATCCCTTTGGATTGCACAATTATGAAGATGTATCCCCATGTGTAGAAACTCAAATAAGATTTCAGTGTTCCAGTCCTAAGGCACAATTCCCTCTTATAAGGATAGCTCAGTGTGCTTTTAAGCTCTGTGGTTCTTGCACTGTATTTCTCTGAAATCTCGGACTCCTTAGGCCCCTGTTCTATCATGTGGAAGTTGCATGGCTCTCAGCACAATATGTGCCACGTTTATGGCTTGGTCTGGTCATCTGTACCAGAGGATAATAATAGATTTTACCTCGTAGACTTACTTGGGACTGAGACAACTTATGTAAAGTACTGAGACCAGTGCTTAGTCAGAACAGACTTAATGAATATCAATTATTATTTCCTTCAATATATAATAGTCAAATTGCCTTTCCATGACTGGTTGATGGGGTGATGGAGGGAGAGAGAAGGAGAGAAAACACTTTTAAGAGGAGGGAAAACTCTACTGAAAGCCATATGGGATGTGTGGGAACGGTAGCCCAGGACACAGCACTTTCGGGAGGCAGAGAAGGAGGGGACGCTGTGGAGAAGAGGGGCAGTTGGGTGGCCTATGGTAAGGGTTAGCAGGCATTGGGTTGTCAGAATAAAAAAAAGGAAGATGCGATCAGCCTCTGACTTGGAGCGGCAGCGGAGTTGACTCGTTTGGCATCTGGCTGCTTCCAACCATGTTTGCCTGGCATCTACACAACTGGTCATTTCAGTCCAAAAGTTCCATCCAGCCAACATCAAGGAGGGCTGGTGGGCTGCCTGTGTGAAGCCCAAACTCCAAATTATCCTCTGGCTTGCCCAGCTATTGGGACTGGGAAGTTCTGACAGCAGCATATGCCAATGCCCCATGATAGTTATTGGGGTTAGAAATTGCATTGCCCTGAAATGATGAGCAGTGCCCAAAGCATATCTGATTTCAGAGTAGGCTTGTAGCAAGGCAGCACTGATAGAAGGTGTATTGTCTGGCCACTCAGAGCAAACAAAAATGACTTGCCGTGGAGCTGCAGCGATGCAAGTTTCTCCTCACAGGCACCCCACCCCGATTTATTGCTGTGTGCGGAACTGAAATGTGGAGTTGTTAGAAGTAAAAATCAGAGTGGAGTAGTCCTTTCCAAGTATCCCCTCAACTTTGGCCTATGATGGAGTTTCTGGCCAACCCAGGATTGCTCTTCTTTTTCTTTTTAATTCCTTTAAAATGAAGGGTTTGGTTTTAATTGACTGAGGGATAATATTATTATATTGAAAAAGCAATATATGATAGATATTACTCTGAAGTGTTTTTCCATTCCAAAGAAATTTTCATGTCAGTTGAGTTATTTGTTCTTTTCCAACAACCCTGTGAGCTAAGTTGGGTGGACGAGGGTATTATTAATTTCATTTTGCACACAGAGACTTGAGGAAGGGAAATGATTACTTACCCAAAGACAACAGTGGCAAACTGGCAGCATTAACAATGAATACTTAGCAGCTACCAAGTACCAGATACTATTATAAGCATTCATTTTCTCTTCATAATGACCCAATGCAGAAGGCACTATTATCCCCACTACACAGGTGAAAAGCTCAAACTTAGAAAGATGAAATAATTTGCTGCAGATTACAGGTAGCAAGTAGTTCAGTTGAGATAAGAATCTAGGTAGCTTAGCTTCAGTGTCTAGGGAGCAACTACTCTATGCTATTCAACCATAAAGTGCATGGGCATGTCTTGGGTCACTTATTGCCTTCCTTACAATTCCTTCTTTTCTTTAAAGGTCTCCCAATCTTAGATGGACAAAGGGTTTTCTAAAATCTGACAAGCCCAGGATTCACTGTTTCTTTGTTGAAGACAGAGTCTCACAACGTAGTCTGGGCTGGCTTGGAACTTGCAATCCTCTTGCCTCAGTCTCCTGAGCGCTGGGATTACAGGTGTGTGCTACCACACCTAGCTAGGACTAGTGATTTAAAAAGTCTATCATTTGTCTATTTTAAAGTTAGAACACTAACTGGAAAATGCTCTTCAAAATGAGAATGAAATGCAACACTGAAGTTCACCAGGAGAGAAATTCTGCTGAAAACATTGTCTCAATTCTCCAGTTGCTGCCAAGGACTTTTGTTGATTTCCTGCTCTGTGGAGATTTTTTATGGAGGTAAGAGGAAGGATATCAATGCTGAAGTCTCCCTGTGGCCCTGGGGTCTGCGTCAGTTGCATTTTCTTTCTTTGTGGACCTCAGAGGAGTGTTGGCAGAAATAGATCTGAGATCCAGTAGGTAAGGGTTTTTAAGCGACTGGATGAACCTGCTTTTCTGGTGAGCTCCCTTGTTCGTGAGATGTAGAAGTCACGCGAACCTCTTCAAACTCCAAGAAAGACAGTTTAAACCTTGACTTCCTATAACCAAGTCTCCAAAAGGCATTTTTGTTGTAGCTAACTTTGGTTCTGTGACCTACAGTCTTTTGTTGAGTAAAATAATTCAGTGTATAATGATTTAGAGAAAATGCCTTTTCCTCAACGGTGGAATTCCTCCCAGAGAAGAGACTACCTTCTGTTATGCAGGAGTAGGGTAGGGAAGTGACTAGGAATTTCCAAGGCTCCACCATGCCCAGTGGTGGGCTTCACCTGACTCACAAGCAGGCAGGATAATGAAGTCAGATAACTCTGTGGGGGGCCTCACTAGTGTTTCCTGTATGGTGTCTAATTTGCTTCCTGCCTGAGTTATTATGTAATCACATTATGTTGTCAAAGTTTGGACAGTGGGAAAGAATAAGGCAGTAGAGAGACCCAGATTCTCTGGGCATTTCTACCCATAACATGATTTTTATGACCTTTGGCACTAAGCATTAACCCAAGAATGCCAACTTGGTCATGACAACAAGCTTGTGTACATGGGTGGGCCGTGTAAGATGGAGTGACATTAGACATTGACTACAGTGTGCATGATGCCAAAGTAAACAACTGAATAATGAAGTGTTTGACAAACCAGTTTATTTCACATCTTTAGACAAATAAATTATGTTGCTGAAGAGAATTTTGCTTTTGAAAAATCAGAACTGATAATCATATGGATTTGGTAATAATTATTTTGTGTGTCTATAAATATAAGGAAATGATTTGTATTTATGTGTTGACACTATCTGTGGGTAATGACAGAGATCATTATATTTATTTAATTTTGTGTTGCTTTATAGTCATACAAATAAGATAGCATAACATTAATTAAATTTGGGAAAAAAAGAAATCCCTAGCAATCCCACTATTTTGATAGCATATATTTTTTTTTTCATGTCTGAGTTTTCCTTTTATGTCATTGGCTGACATATTTTTACTGGGTCAGAATCCTAGCTAAGTGAACTTTCAGTTTACCCCCTAACATTTACAGACTGGAAGCAGCTTCTAGAGTAGATCCCTGGATGGATGAGCAGGGAGAAACATTTGTGTCAATCTATCATAATCTTCTTGTTTTGCAAGTGAGATGACAGAAGGCCACAGAATGGAGCATTCATCTGGAGGACGGAGGTTAAGGTGGCTGAGCTGGAGCTTTTCCCATCTCAGTGCAGTTCTGGTCATTCCACGGTGTGTCTCAGACTCACCCTTGAAGTTGCCAGCAATACCACACACACTTCAGCTGGGCTTTTAATATGCAGGTATACAAAGGTATGTGTATGTGTGTGTGCGTGTGCACGTGTGCCTGTGCCTATACAAAAGTATATTTGTATTTATAGATGTGTATTTTTAAATGATATATGGAGAACCTGAATTGTGGCAAACTCCAATTTTATTTTATTATTATTATTTTTTTGGTTTTTCTCTGGTACCGGGAACCGAACTCACGACCTTGCACTTGCCAGGCAGGCGCTTTGCCATTGAGCTAAATCCCCAGCCCCAAACTCCAATTTTATAAACAATGATAAAAACTGAAAAAAAAATTGAAAAAGTAGCCATGGGATTATAGAGTGTGGCATCTTTCACACAATGTTTTTCTTTTCAAATCTCCTAAAAAAGGTTTTTCTAAGGCCTTATGCCTTATGCTGTTAAGTTGTTTGTGGTGGAAAATCACTACCCACAACAAGAGAACCTCAGGACAGCAAGAAGCGAAGGGCAGAGGAGGTGAGAAGGGAAATAAAGCCATGCCGAGGATGAGCCCGTTACAGTGGACAATTGTTTTGCCCATAAACAAATCCAAAGTTTATGCAAACTCTGTTAAAAGAGGAAATTACAAACTTGTTTATTTATTTGGCTCAGAGTGGCAATAAAGACTCATTCCTTGCAGGGAGGGCAATTTTTTTTTTTTTAAATCTTGTTCACATTAGCCTTTAGCAGAAGTCTATGAAAATTCTCATGACCTTGATATATTTTAATACTTCTAGATTAAAACCTTTTCTCTTCTAAGTGTAGCCACAGTTTTATAAATGAACAACTGTGGAAAACTAAAGAGAATGAAAACTTCTAAACAGATTTACTTGAGAAATAGATCTGTAGGCAATCTGGAGAGGGGAGTGTTTCTCCTAGACTATCAACAGATTTTGGTAGTGAAAAATATCTGTTAAAGGCAAATATTTTAATAATTTCAATCAACTCCTTGAAAGAGCAGCATTTATCATTATGATATAAAATAGCCCTTTTGGATTTCCCAGTTCAGGAAGAATAATGTGTCTAGCACACTTGCACACCTTATTGTAAAAGGAGATGCCTAATAAATATTTCTTCTCTCAGTAGATCTTCTTCATTTCATTTCTTTACATTCTGACCAGCTTTCCCTGGTTACTCCTCCCCAGAAACAGACTTTCTGTATGATTTGTATCCATCAGTGTTATGAGGTTATGTTGTTGTAACAAATGACACCAAACATCTCTGACTTCTTGTTCATGCTTCTTGTGGGCCAGGAGGGAGGCTCCACTCACCATGGTCACTGGAAGATTTAGCTGTTGGAGACTCAGTTGCAACCTGTCCTCTTGTACCTTTGGTATCAGGGTAAAGGATGTAACAAGTTGTGCTAGTTCTTAAATCTTTTACCTGGAAGATAGACTTATAGCTGAGTTCAGTCCTACCATGGTGTCTAGAAAAAGGAAAATCAGAATAAATGGCAACAGTCCTCATTACTATAATATGGTTTATGATAATAATGGTGTTTTGGTTAGATTTGTTTCTTGAAGACATTGAAGTGATATTAGTGCCTATAACGATGGTAAATTTAAGAGATATAGGTAGGTTGTTGGTTCTACCGTCCTTAGAGGAAATAAAAGGACACAGAATTAGTGAACTACTGGAAGTCATGGGATGTATTAGCAGCAATTTTGACACTCAGGTCCCCAGATTCTTGGTGTGCCACCTTCAGAGCTGCCTTTGAGGCTGTCCTTTGGTTTTTTACATATAACTCATTTCTTTAAACATCTTGAATCTAGGCCTCCATGGAATGATGGGTTGGAGTTGTAGTTTAAGTAGACTTTGGAATGGCCTTTTACAGAGTAACTCTGGGAGGCTGAACTGGGTAGAACAGATATAAGAAAATTTAAAAATGAATTGAAGTTAGGATGATCATTTTTGAATTCTTGTTTTGTCTATCCTCTCATATGACTTCTGGGAAGTTACTTAACTTTTTTGAGATTCTGTTGCTTCCTCTGAAAAATGAGGGTACTGTTTCTCGCCTGGCTGTGGTGTAGCTGTGGTGTAGCTGTAGGCTGCGGTGATGCACAAAAGAGGAAAGGTGGTGAAATGTTGCACAACCACAGGGACCCAGGAGCAGTTTTAAGCAGTATCACCCAATTTGTCAACCCCCTGAGCCCCACCCCACACACATTTTAAGCACTAGAACAGGAGAACTCTTACCCAGTGAACCTGATATTGTTCCAAAATAACATTTTTTTTTTTTGTTTGTGGCAATCTACTTGATTTATTTTGTTAAAAAATCCATAAGCTCCAACATGTTCTCTTAAATTCCACCATACGTTTCAGCCTCTCTGTCTCTGTCTTTCCTTTTCTCTTTCTCTCTGGTTCTCCCTTAGACTGAATTCAGATCAACCCACTGGTCATCACATGAGCAAGAAGGCTCCAAGAAATTACTCAGGTCAAACAGCAGCTTCCAGAAACAGGTTCTTCCTATTTTCAGAAGACCCTTGGATACTGCCCAGGGAGTGCATCTGTGTATTTAAGAAGTGGTACATTCCTGCCACTCGCTGGAGTCTTGGCCCTGAGCTAGCTGCCAGGTTCAAGAGCACATCTCTGTTCTAGGCAGCAGATGGTCTGGTCTGGCCTGGTCTTGTTACCAGGACCGTTTGCCCACTTTTTCTGTAGTGAGGTCCATGTTCCAAAGGTACTGTTGGCTGGTGGTAGGGCTGCCTTCGCTCTCTGTTCTCTTTGCTCCATTTTCAAGGTGAATTGCAAGTGGACGCGACTGGGACCTAAGTCAGGAGGGCTTGAGGGAAAGCAAGCAAAGTATCATTTTGATTCAACAGTTGCTTAGTAAGTAGCTACTGAGTAGGAAACCCCTTGTTTTCTATGGCCTTTTTTTTTTGGTACCAGGAATTGAACACGCAACCTCATGTTTGCTTGGCAGGTATTGTGCCGCTGAGCTATATCCCCTTGTTTTCATGAATGTAAACCAAACACAGAAAATAAAAACGGGTTTATGAGCATAGATGCCATCTCAGTTTTTTTAGGCCCACAAACAAAATCTGATCTTTAAGAAGATCAGAGCCTAGAACCAGGGATGTAGCTCAGCGGCACAGCCTCTGCTTGGCAAGCACAAGGTCCTGAGTTCGATTCCTGACACCAAAAAAAAAAGTGTTAACCTATTCGCAGAGACATAAATGATCTGTTAGGTCAAAATTTGAAATGTGCCTAATATTGCAGTTTAGCTCCAAACTAGTTAAAACACCTTTTCTTAGCATTCGTTTTAAATAAATGCTTCTCTTGCTGATGCTCTAATTGACCCTTCCCTTCCCTTCCCTTCCCTTCCCTTCCCTTCCCTTCGCTTCCTGCCCCTCCCCAACTCTCCCCTTTCTTTCCTCTTTCTACAATGCTGAAATGGGTTTATGTGTTAGCAAAGTCCCACCAAAATTGGGAAAGTCAAAGATGCTTTCTTTTAAGCAGCTTAAATATAAGATAACAAAATAGTAATCTCTGCTCAGTACCCCTTCCCTACCCCTTTACTCCACATTTAAAAAAAAAAATTTAGTAATATATAGGGGAGGAAAAAACTTTTCAAACACAGACCTTTATGGCTGGAGACAATCGGCTGCTGGAGTGGACCGTCTGCCCCTTGCTAACCATTCCATCACGTTCTCCAGGCCTGAGCAGCCCGTGGCCTGTAGTCGTTCTCGGCTGGCAGCGGGGAAGTCTGCCAACGTCCCATCAGGCTTGTTTCTTAAGCAAAGTTGTATAAGTTAACAGGTTTTATTGTTGGGGGTAATCTGGGGCCATTCTTCAGGAGGAAGGGACGAGGCCCCCAGAGTGTTTGCCAGCAACAGCCCTTGGCTTCACTCATTCCCTCTCCTCATTAATTTGTGTGAGCTCAGCTCAGATAACAAACGATGGGGCAGGGGGATCCTATTCAGCCAGGCCTGGCCCCCGTAAGGCCTGTGAGCTAATTGCTCTAATTGAGTGGGAGGGACTGCTTTCTTCTGGATTCCTGTCCTTTCCCGGGGCCTTGTTTGGAGAGGAATGAATGGAGGCCACTTCAGCTCCTGCTGGCAACCCAACCGGCCAGCCCAGCCCTGTGATCCACTGTGGGGATCCAGGTCTCCACAACTCCTTTAGCTGCTCCTCCGGTCCTTGGTCCTTCTTTGTGTGACCAGTGAGCGAGCCAGGTGTTCCAGCAGGGCCCGCTCAGGGCTTTGCTTACTTGCTTCCTCTTGCCTTTTGGGTTGAGAAATGCTCTGCTATAATTTATATCTGGGAGACGGCATTAGAAATGTGTTAGCGCGCTGCTCCAGATGGACAGATCATTTACAACTAGCACAATATATTATCAATGCACTGCTCTTTAGGACCTGCTATATAATAGACATGTAATGAAGCATATGAAACATGGGTTTCATTTCTGAGCCCGAACAGGAACGTGATTTCAGGGAAGAAAAGGCATCCTAGGTGGGGGTAAAGGGTGGGGGACTGGAGGGGCCAGGAGAAGGTCTGTCTCTTTAAGACTGACTGGGAAGAAAAGCAAAAGTCATCAACTCTGAAAGTAACAAATGAGAGCCCAGAGCTGTGGCACTAATGTGCAAACTTGTTTCTGTCCTCTATGGCGCCATCATTTATTCAGGAGGTAGAAGCAGAAGACGGGGACTTGCATTTGCTTGATACTCAATTATACATTAGTGTACATCACTTGGCAATCTGTTCATATCAATTTAATTGGATTTTAATATTGCCTCTGATCTTGTTGTCCAATTAACAGTACTGGCTGGCAATAAAGCAGAACCACACACTATGTAACACCTTTGATCCCTGCCATATGGAGCTCTTCCATTGATTACCACATTTTCAAAAAATTTCACTCTCTCAATATGGGCTGTGATAAATGGGAGAAAAAGCACATCCCTGATGTGATAAAAATTTCACTTCAACTCGCAACTTCATTTATTTTGTTGACATTCGGCTCTGATTAAGAACAATAAAAAAATCATGCCCTGAATATCATATGCAAATACAACCCTGGGCATGAATCTAATCATGCCATGGGAGCATTACCATGACTAGCCTGGCATCAGCTCAATTTTTTTTAAAGTGACAGCAGACACTTTTGGGCTGGCTGTTCGGAGTAGTTGCTACCGTTATGTCATTTAATAAACGTCTGATGTTTCCGTACCCACCAAGGCATGGAGAAAGCATTTGAATTTCTGCCTGTTATTTGGAGGCCCTAGTGTTCAGGTGCTGTCTGGGTTTGCACTTACCTTATCTGTCTCCGCTAACCTGTAGTCTGGGAGAGTCAGGCAGCTGGGAGCTGAGTCTGGGTGAGGCTCCGGTGTGAAGCTTGGGCTTGCTCTTCCTCTTGGGGCTGCCCTGCAGAATGGGTGTGGCGATGGGTTTGGGAAGGAGCTGGAAAGGCACAGAGGGACCTGCCCGCTCTAGAAAGCTTACGAATGTGTGCAAGCTCCAGCTTCCTGTTTGCCTCTTGGAGTTATGCAAGCAATTATGGCTTGATGCCCTGGAGACACTCCTGAATGACAGGATTAACCCCCAAGGGAAACAGGCTTCTGTTGTGAAGGATTACATCAGTGTTCTAAAAGGCCCTTCCACAACTCAGAAGAATCGCTGATCCTTTTCATGCCTGGACAAGGAGGTTGCTGGTGGCTAGAGCCGGGAAATGCCAGAGAGGCCCCTTTTGGGATCCCACAGGCTCTACTCTCACACCCTTTCCTGCGCCCTGGGACGGATTCCTCAGCCAGCTCTGTGGCTCTTCTGGGTTTTACCCAACTGAGGCTGGGAAGTTGGACTCTGAACTATAAAGCAGGGCCAGCTGCCCCATGCGGTGACCTGGCAGAGAGAGGGAGAGGTGGACCCGGTGGCCTTGCTCACTGGCAGATGGGTCCCCTGGGAAGCTGAGACTCACCTGGAATCCAGGCAACTTTGGAATGTGGGCGGAAGCTAAGGCTGTCAATTACACATGGCATAAATTATTTCTTGACCATTAGCAGTGTTTCTGCCTTCGAACTGTTCTTCAGGCATATTAAATCAGTGAGAAGGAAGAGCATGCTAGGACATCTGGGGCTGCCAGATAATTCCGTTAATTTCTATTCCCCTGAACCTGGAGGTGTTAATTTGGAAGCACAACAGAAGAGTCTGAAGAATGCTAATACGTCATTTGAATGATTAATGCAATCAGAGGGATTGGGGGACCTCTGTTTACTTTTTAATTTTGACATGGCACAGCAAGGAGGGGAGCAGCTAATTTTCCAAAGTTAAGGGCAAGTTGGTTTCATTTCAGTCACGTGGCTCCGGCAGGGCTTCGGGGAGCTGGGGTGGCTCAGGAGCACTGTGTTGGGCGACGGGGGCTGGTGCTGTTTCTGTAATGGGTACAGCCAGGAAAACAAGCGAAACCGTCTGTGATCCGTTGAGCCCTGTCCTCTTGGGTGAGGAGGCTCCCAGACGCTGCTGGGAACAACAAACAGGAGGAAAAAAATGTAAGAAAGAAAGGAAAAGAGAGAATGGAAAAACACAGCCGAAAATAGGTGATAGCCTTATAACGTACATGTATTTTTATCTGACATTTCCAAATTGAATGGCTTTCTTTAAAAAAGGAAAAGATTTCCACATTTATTTAAATGCAACCTTATTAGGGAAAGCTCAGGGCGGAGGAACTATTTAAAAACATATTTTGAGGAGAGACGAAAAGGAAGACATTTAATACCTAGCAGTCTGTGGGTATTTTAAAGACTTCTCAACTCTTTTATTGTGCTGCCTCTGATTAGAGGCGGCTTATGACGGTGATAACAGGAAATTTCAAAGGGCACTTTCCCGCCACCAGCCAGCCACCATAGTATCTTCTTTTTAAGACAAAGAAGGTATTGTGAGAGTGAAAAGGATTTGGCCCCAAACACTAAACAAATTCTAGAGAGCAGAAAAAACCCTGTAATTATGTTAATAGTAAATTAATGTTTTGTGATTTACCCATATCACCTCAGAATACGTGTTGTTCAAAGGTACCTACTGGAAATATTCCGCAGACATGCTGGAGAAGGGATGAAGTCAAAATGTTTGGTTCCTCATAAAGCCTTGTGTTTAAGCTACATAGTGAGCATTCTAGTGCCAGAAAGACGTGTTTTCCCGCGGTGCCACTCAGACAAGGCTTAGGGAAGCTGGGACAGATGAGGACCTTCCTTCCCAGGTATACGTGTTTCTGAGGTTTCCTTGTCCATAAAATGATGAGGCTGTGGTGTCTGGATGCTCCACTCCTTCCCATCTCTGCAGCCTTTTACTTCCTTGAGCCTGGACTTCTTGGGCTTATGACACGTTGGCTTTCCCCTGTGGTGACCCATGCTGGGGTCTCCGTTCAGATAGGGTCTTGAGTGGAACAGACCTTAACTTCGATTTTCACAGGACAGTTGCTCAGGCCACATGAAGTTCTTTGCTCAAACCCAGGATATCCCAGCATGTAGATGAAATAAACACCAACTGAGGAATTGTATACAGTCCCTCTTCCTTATCCATAGGTTTGCACCCACAGGTTAAACCAACTGTGGATGGAAAGTATTTGAGGAAAAATTATGTTTGTACTGAATAGAGAGAGACTTTTTTCCCTGTCGTTATTCCCTAAAGTCTAACAATCATTTATAGAGCATTTACACTGTATTAGTATTCTAAGTAATCTAGAGGTGATTTAAAGTAAATGGGAGCTGGTGTGTAAATTATATGCAAATGATCTGCTAGTTTATACAAAACACTTGAGCATCTGCAGATTTTTATATCCTAGCTGGTGTTTGGGGGTCTTTAGCATCAGTTTCTTCATCTTCCACCTCAGGATGGTTTTGAGAGTTGACTTAGAAAAATCTTGTGTTCCAGAAAGGGCCCAGGACAGGACCTGGCATAAGATTGTCTCTCACTTTACTCCGAACAAAGTACTGACTTCCTACACCTAGCTGGGAAAGAACACATTTTCTGACCATATACTTTGTGCTTTGGGCACAGCTGTGAAGTACACAGGTTCCCTTGGCATTACAGGCTCCCTCTGTTGTACAGTTTTTCTTCTTCAGTTTCCTCTTCTCTTTAAGTACTCAATAATTTTTCTTTTTATCTAGTTGTATACTTTCATCAAAACTTATTCTCACGGGAAGATCTAGTATCAATCATATATTCTTCAATATAAATTTAAAGCCATGTCTGAAACTGTGCTAGGTCCTTTTTTGCTTAACATATAACTTTTCTTGATTAATTCTCAAGGGCTTTTGGTATTTAAAAATTTATAGCTAATAATGAAATAAAATATTTGACCTCCCCTTGAAAGTGGCAGAGACATTAATGAGTAGGAGCAATTAGGGCAGATTTGCCTTAATCTTTCAAGTAAAGCAAATGTTGGCTTTTGCTACTGTATAGCAGCTAGAAGCACTGCATAAAGCAGCATTCTGAGCAGCCTTATTAAGCTTAATGGAAACTGTTATAGCTAAAGCAACCAAATAAGGATGAGGAAGTTGGGTTTCAACCCCATGTCACTAAAGTGTGTTTTGGGGCACAGAAGACTGGAAAAAGAGGGGACTGGATCATAGCAGTGCTCTTTCTACTTCCTCATCTACAAAACTCATCATTCACTATTCTGTTTTGGGATCTGGCTCTGCTGAGCCTCCAAGCAGCCATTGTTATCATAATTGCAGTGGGCAGTTAATACAGAATTTATTGCCATCCAAGGGCTAGATGGTGACCAACATTTTTTCCCATTAAGATTTCTATGAGATCTTAAATCTAGGAATGTTACAGATCCCAGTTTCCCAAACTTGTCTGTCTATTTGTGAAGCATTGGGGCTTCATAAATACATGTATTCAATCAAATTCTGTAGGAGTGAAGCTTGGGAATCCATCTCTGTACAAAGCTCCTCAAATGAATGTGACATAGCTACTCTGTGGACTAGCGTTTGGGTGCTGCCACCTCAGGTGATGTGATTCCAAGTTTTGTTGTTTTAAGAATGGGCACTTATAGGCTGGAATCATTGACATTTCTGGAGAGACTTCATGAATTGGCTGAAAATTTTTGGTGACTTCCACTTCCAGTTTTTGCTGTTTCATCATCACACTGTGGAGGAGTACTATGGAGCCTACGGCTGGGCTCAGAAAGCCCTGTTCTGATTGGGTTCAAATGTTGGCAGAGGAGCTTATCAGCTAGGTGGCCTTGAATAAGTGTCTTGGTTACTTTTCTCTCGTTGCTGGGACAAAATACCTGATGCCCAAAATTAGGAAGGAAAGGTTTATTTCACTTACAGTTTGTGGAGGTTTCAGTCCATACTTGGCAGATTACAAGGCAGAGTGGCACATGGCAGAGGGCCACAGCTCATGGCCGCAGAACACAGCTAAGCAACAAACACACAAGCCAAGAATGGCCCCAAGCAGCCTCTTGCTCTCCCTTACATATGCAAACTATCCACCCCAGGGCGGGTGCAGCTCTCACACCCATAATCAGTCAAACTCTAAAAGCCTGCCCCATGACCACATGAGGCTTTGGGAGGACACCCAGACACAAACCATAACAATAAGTAATTTAAAAAAAACAAAAAACAAAAAAAAATAAGTAATTTAATATAGACAATTAACTTAATCTTATCATCTGTAAAACCAAGCCCAGAATACACTCCTTGCTGGAGTTGTTGAGACTCCTAAGAATCTATTACTTCTACTTGCTTTTTCTGTGAGACAGTTGCTGAGTATCTACTATGGTCCAGGTGGTATAAAACCAAGAAGAGAGGCAAGATGAAAAAAATAGGATCATGTTTTCTGAAAGTCGTCTAAATTAGGGGCTTACAATATCCATGTTACATTTAGAAACATGCGGTACACAGACAACTGAAAGAAAAGTGTCACCAAATAATATCTATTCTTACTGCATGTAATAGAGTTTGAGATTCCCATCCCATCCCATCCCATCCCATCCCATCCCAGCCCAGCCCAGCCCAGCTCAGCCCAGCCCAGCCCACTGCATTCCATTCCACAATACTGACTATATGAGTTCCATGTTAATTTCACCGGCCACTAATTGGTCATTAACTGCAGCCAACCACTCATTTCTGTCGTTCCTCTACTGACACCCTTCAACAGAACATCTAATACCTACTCATATATTTCCAGCAACGAAGGACCTTTTCAGACCAGGATAAATATCTCTCAACTCAATCTTGTGACTATGAATTGAGGATTGACTGTTAACAAAGCAATCAACTACATCTATATTGTGTATTTTATCCGAAGGTCTGTAAAATGATTATTTGGAATGCTTATTGGATTTCCCCATTACCCTCTTGCTGGTTGTTGGCTATCCAAGGAAATCTGGCACTGCTTTCTGCTCTAGACCATGATGTCTTCATTTCTATCAAAATTCAGTTGTCCCATGACCCACTGTTGTTACTGAAAGGTTCTTGGCTGACATTGACAGAGTATGCCTTGTATTTTTTTAAATTTTGAATTTTCGTATTATTATGTTGTTGCAGTACATA